TTAAAAGATTCAGATCATCAAACAAATTTTAATATTACACAAAGATAACCCAAGTAAATACAAAATGCAGTTTTGATATAATGATTTCAGGGATTAAAATTTCATCGCTACGACAGATTTCCGTCAGTTCATAAAGACAGTCACTTGCTTCATTCCTGAATGATTCAGCCGTTCGAACGAGTCAATTGAATGAATGATTCAGTGATAAAAAATCAGTGACTTGCCGCCACCTGCTGGCGGATTTAGTTTACTTTTTAGCGTATAATTTCAGTTATTTAAATCATATTTCTGTATTCAAATTTTTATATTTAAAACATTAATCTCCACATGAATTTATGAATTTAATTGCACTTATGCTACCTCTGAGCCTCATTAAACGTCTGAAAATATACCTACAAGCCACTTTTGTGTTCTTCTGTGCCACCTCTGTAGTACAAATTAATTTATTAATACTAAGAGGAGAGAGGACCAGGCCTGGATTTTATTTTGGAATGTAACACAATTCGTAGTCACGGGAAGAAGGAGGCGGGAACCGGCGAACGTTCAAAGAAAACTTTAATAAAATAAACAAACACAAAATGAAAGTAAAGCGGCAGCCCGTTGCGGACAACTGCCACACACAACACAATCCAGGCCTGGTCCTCTCTCATCTTTCACTGTCGTCACTCCTCCTTTTATCCTTCCGGAGCTCCTCCGTGGGACTCGAGACCGGTGAGTGGTGCAGGTGTCGCTCATTATCAATTACACCCGCGGCTCTCGGCCCCACCCCCACTCGTCACAATGTAATAATAGATAAATTAAATGTGCACTGTTTTTATTTTTGCATGATTCCCAATTATTTATATTCATGATTTCTAGTATTTGTACAGCCTTTACATTTTTATTTAGTGTTGTAATTAGCAATTCATTTAAGTTTTTTTTTTGAAGCAGATTTGTTATGTGACAGCGTTAATTAAAGTTTCTTAAGGGTCAAGATCATGTTATCTGCATCTCCTGCGCTCCATCAAGCCACTCCCATAATAGCTGTCACCACTCAAATTAATGTACGGCTCAGATTAACTGTATACATAAAGAAATTATTTCATCATAAATATTTTAATGAGTAAAAGTGTCTGTGTCTATATATAGACACAGCCAGTTTTACTCATTGAAATATACTATAGCCTATAGACTACACAACATTATTATATTGTTTTTCAATTAATTTTAAAATTATTATTATTTTAAATTACTGTCCGTGGATCAGTAGGGTACACTTCTATTAAAGTAGCAGTGGCTGGGACAGATTTTAAGTATCAATTCTGCTTAAAAAGATGCGATCTAATACTGTTTACATGAAATAAGCCTGCTCC